CAGGAATGGAATGCTTGTGTCTCGTGTACTGAATTTAATGTAGGTTTACCACAATTACAAAATATGAACAGATGTTGAAGACAATACAGGAGTGGTTTTTGTAGTAAGGAAAATCCATGTGTGGCTGGGTAGGAAGTGTTCCTTTTGCCTTTAGGAAAGTTTCAGCAGCTCCTGAAGAGTGTAAAAATGATTGAAGAAATACCAAATTTCTTCTGCTTTTAGGCCTGACCTTCATGTGAAATGGAGTGGTGAGCTGAGAGAGTAATTTACAAAAAGCATGCCAGGCAGTGAACCACCTGAGCAGCTCTCTGCTGAGCTACTGTCTGTGTTGCTCGTCAGATCAGCAAGAATTGCTGGAAAAAGATGAGGCTTTATTGTTTTCTTGTTTACTGGTATGGAATTCACAGCTATAAATTATTCATCTGCCAGTTTCAAGATGTAGATTGGTGCTCTTCTGGCTCAGTAGATATTGAATGTAATACAGGTTTTCTGCTGGTTAGCAACAGCATGCAGTGAGCTCACAGTTACTGCATCCAAAGGCTGCTTCATCTGGGTAGGAAGCAGTGATCATAATCCAATTCTTAATAGATATGGCAGTCTTAAAGAGAGGCAAGTACTTCTGTCCTTCTTGCCTGCAAAAGCGGTCCTTTAGAGGCTAGCTTCAGCTGCCTGGGGACATCCAGATAGGGCACTACTGGGAATCATAGAATGCTGCGAGTTGGAAGGGACCCACAAGGATCATTGAGCCCAACTCCTGTCCTAGCACAGGACAGTCCCAAGATTCAGACCATGTGTCTGTGTCTGTCTGTGTATCCAGGGTTGCCATGTCCTGGGTACAAAATCCAGCACTTGCCCTTGGTTTTGGGTTGGGTTTTTTTTTCTGCCTTTTTTTTTTTCCACCCCCTCCTCTTTTAAAAGAAGGAAACTTTGAGAGACCTGATCTGGATTGTCAGACCGGATTGGCAAACATTGAGCACACGTATGGCTTTGTTTCATTAGAGAAGGTCACAGCACAGCTGCAGAAGCGAAAACTCGAGAGAGTAACATGGATGGTAAAACAGCAGCGTTGTGCATGTGCATGTCATCTGAGGGAAATGAGAGCATAGCACTGTGACCTACATAATCCACATCAAACTGCATTTGCATTGAGAGAAGGCGAGGGGGGAAAATTCAAATCCTGCAGATTAATCGGCCACTAAAGAAGGCATCTGTAGAACTGCTTATTACCTTAATCTTTTGGGCACCCAGACTAACAGATAACCCAAATCCAGATTAACCTGGCCTAAATATATTAAATCAAAAAGGGGAAAACCAGCCCTGATAATCCATGTGCTGAATTTCTACTTTCAAAAAGGCTGTTAAATTTTTCAGGGTGTAGTTGCTTTCTGTTAAGATGGCAGACTTAGTTGTTGTTATTGTTTGTTCCCAAAATAGACGATGATTGTTCAGAGGCATCTGAGAGCAGTAGCTGCTATCAGTATGTTTCTCAGTAATCATGAAGGCTTGTAATCAGATTTGCATTTAGAAAGCAGAGTTCCTGAAGAATGTCATGAGTAGGGTTTTTTTTTTTAAAAAAAAAAAAAAAGAAAAACTAAAGGGGGACTGTGAAATAATGACTGTTTTAAAGGATATAATTTTCATTTAGAAATTGGACTAAGAGGTGTATGTTTGCAGAACGCTTTGGGAATTTTTCTTACCTGAAATTGTCTGAATACTAAATGGGCATCTACATGTACGTGAATGAGGGATTTTTAGGGTGTGATTCACTTCAATTTAGGGTAGATGACTAGCTGAACTGACTTTCATCCCTTGTGCACAAATGAAAGCTAATGGACACATAAGAAACGAGCCCTCCTGCTCAAATGCAGGAAGGTAGCTGGGCAGCACGGGTGGAGCACAGGCCACTGAGGGAGGACACCTGGGTTCTTGGTCTGGCTCTGCTGGTGATGCACCTGATGTGCTTTTTCTAAGCTAGTGCATCCCAGGCAATGGGGGATTATACTAGAGAAACCCTGACAAACTGCAGGTGAGGTGGTCTGTTCACCTGGCATAGGACAGTGACAGCCAAAGCTGCTTCTTTGGGCTTTCAACAGAGCCACTCTGCCCAGCTTCGCGCAGGGCTGCTTTGTATGACACAGAGGTGGATTTTGTTCTCTGTTCTGGTCTGCAGGGATTATGATTTCCCTGCAGAAATGTTGTAAGGCAGTGTTAACGCGAGGGTTTTCTGAGAGTGGAAGGACTGCTATTGGAGGGATGTTAATGTAATGCAGAAAGGAAGAAAAAGCTACACAGTGCCCTAGTTTTAACTTAGTCATGTGGAAAATACAGGGTTGTTGTCTTGGTGCTGTTTACCTTCCTAAGCGTAGCTCTTCAGAAAGGTATTATGGGCCTGGTATTTAGAGAGAAAAGGATGCACTATACTTTATGCTGCTCCATAGCAGGCTTTGAAGCTGTTCAAAGAAGCACGCTTGCTGGGGGAGTGAGAGGGGAAGGCCTTAATCTTTTGCCACAAAGGTAAATTACTTTAACACAGGTCTCAAGCTGACCATCATAGACCTGCATCCTGAACATTTAAATCCAGAGGTATAGACCTTAGACATATATTAATTTGTAACACACTCATTGTCAAAGCCACATGGGAGTTTCCATGTATTAAAATGCTAGATTTATGACATGACTTTCAGAAGTGGGGAAAAATGCAGCAGTGCTAATAAATTCTCATCCCTTTTATTTTCCACAGCAAGAACTAATTGACAGCATTAGTAGGAAGCTGCAGGTGCTGAGGGAAGCACGGGAGACGCTTCTGGAAGACATCCAAGCAAACAATATACTGGGGGAGGAGGTGGAGGCCATTGTGAAAGAAGTCTGCAAACCAAATGAGTTTGACAAATTCAAGATGTTTATCGGCGACCTTGACAAAGTGGTCAACCTCCTCCTGTCGCTGTCAGGTCGTCTGGCCCGGGTGGAAAATGCCCTTAATAACCTGGATGAAAATACCTCTCCGGAAGAACGGGTGAGAAAGGCCAATAATAATATCACTACATGTAGTGAACCTGGTGTGGGGGTTTTTGCTTGGTTTTGTTTATCTAAATTGCAGAGCTTAAGATGAGGGGTAGTGAATGGATGAATCTCATAAAGCCACTTTCTTTAGATTTCTTAAAACTTTTCTCTTTGCCTTGCTTTTATGTAGAATACTAAAACTGCAAGTGGTTTGGTGAGGAAAAAGTGACATTTTGGGGTGCAGTATACTGGAAAACAGACTTAGCAAAAGTTTAAAGAAAGAGGGGAACTACTGATAAAGGTGTAAAAAGGAGGCAAACAAAAAGGTTCTAATGAAAATTCAGGATGGGAAAAAGAATGTCACTTTGTGCTGTAATGCAGAAAGCTTATAGACTTCTTTATACTCAGCAAGGATCTTGATAAAAATCTATAAGGTTGTTACAAATAAAATGTTTCTTACCTACTACGGCTTCCTCCACAATGCCTAGCAAGGAAGAAGAGCAATAAATGACAGAAGGACTAGTCTTATTTGAGAAAAATACACAGGGGCAGGAGGGAGGCATTGCAGAAAAACTTTTTCAATAGAAAACAAAACCAACCAGAACAGGCTGGTAGTAACGTGGAGGAATCCCAGCAGATGTGAAACTTTCAGGAGTGTTGAAGGTGCTCTTATGTGTTGGACCCCACCTCTGCTGGCAGCACCTTGTCTGGCTCCAGATCCCTTCAGGCCTTAGCTGGGAAACAGATACCTGGCAATACAGGTATGCACCAAAGGAGAGATGTAGACAAGTGCAAAACTTAAAGGCTAAAATAAATAAATAGAGGGGGTGGGGGGCAGGTGTCAGTCAGGTGAGTTTCAATTCTACACTTAAATGAATGCAAAGTGGGATTTTTGGTGCGTAGCTGTGGGCTGAAGTGCCAGCAGGCCACCTAAGTGCTGAAACATATTTTTTTCCACAGGCTGTGGATTCATGTTGTGTTTCTTCAGCATGCTCTGTTGTTTCACCAATAAGAACCAGCAAGTGCTGGGACTAGTTTGAAGCTGTGTTTTTGCTGTTTGGCCCTAGCTGCTGCCAAACATACTTGTTTAATGGCTGTCCAGACCCCTCTCCAACTGAGGCAGGGGGAAGGTATTTGACAGCTTATTAGAGGGCAGATCAAAGCTTAAACTTACAGAAATGTAATCCTTTTTTAGACTTCTCTTTTCTAAACGTGGTTGCAGTTGTCTGATGGGCTCAAAGGTGAGAGTGTGAGCTGAGGAAAGAGCTACCAGATGATATGAGCATGTAGGAAGCACAATTTGAGAGCAGTAATAAAAACAGTTTATTGTCTAGGTGTGGAAAAGGAAGAAATTGAGTAGGTGGTGTAGTAAGGGCAGTCAGAAATTGGCTGTGTGCTCCACTGTCAAATTTAGATTGACAGAAACCCCAATCCCTAACATATTCTAACCCCCATTCATCTTCTCATGCACTGACACCAAAGTCTTGCCATAGTAACATCAGAAGTGTATCTTAAAGTGTTGGTCAGAGATGCTTCTCAGATGGGTCAGGTCCCCAGCTACAAATACAATGCATGTAGGTTTACATCTGCATGTCTTTGAATTTAGACTGGCCTGTGTGGCTTTTCTGGTTGTCCTTTGGTATTTTATAGGTCACATGATGATATTTGGCATACTACTGATATACCACATAAATAAAACAGGGGAAATTACTTCTGTCCCTGAGGATCATATCCCTAGTGTTCACTGATTATTTTAGGGTTTGGGGTTTTTTTTTTGGAAGCTGATGTTAACTAATACACATTACTCTGACAGCTTTGCACTTTCTAGGAACCACGAACAGCTCAGCAGACTTTCTAAATAAACAGTCTGTCAGCAGGCAAATAGTCACTGCTGAATTCATATTCTGACTATTAGATGCTCTGTCATAGGTCTCTTTTGCCACAAAGAACACTATGGGGTATTTCAACTTTAGCTTCTGCAAGGGGCCTCATCTGAAATAGCCCTCTGAGCTTTGTGCTGTCTGTAGAAAAAGCGGCAGCACAGGATACGCGTGCAGCTCTGACAGACAGGTCTATTAAAGCTTGCGGGTCTGCGTCCACCTTGGCCTCATACTTCCATCTTGAACGTACTCCATTTTTGTAGTCTAGAAAAACACTTCTCTGTAAATACTTTAGTCTTTTTATAGTATGTGTGATTTAACATAAAGTCCAAATGAAAAAAATGGACACGCTTATTTGAATATATTGTGGTTTATTTGAAGACATGAGTTCTCAAAGAAAACTAATGTCTAACAGTTATGGAGTGGTACCTCTCGGGGGCACTTATTAATTAAGTTCAGAAGTCTGTACAGGAATTCTTGACGTCAGAGTAGGCCAGCTGTCCTCTGTCGCAGGAAAAAGGCAAATCACTTCTAAGCAGAAATCTGAAATAGGTCAGATTAATAATGCTCCTACTGCTTCCCATATATTGCTAAAGGTGTGCAGCTGAGTGATTCAGGTGTGGCTGGCTGTTGTGTAGACAGGTGGAGTTGGGAGAGATGTACCTCACCCTTAGTGCTCATACATACGTGTGTATGGGGTATAGCTCCCGTCCTCTTCCTTTGTGTGTTCCTCCATTCAACCTCCCTTTTTCCTATTTGGTCTCTTGTGAGGGCACGAAGCAGAAAGTTTACAGCCCTTTTGGGAAGAAAATGATTTTTTTCTTTCTTTTTCTTCCCTCCTATTGTCTTGCCCCAGCTCTCTCTCTTGCTCATAAGACCGCGTGACTTCACATCTCGTGGAGAAGCCATGTGGATTGCAGCACAACTATGAAATACCAGAGTGTCAGGAGCTGTGTAAAAAACAAATCACTCCATTAATGAGTCTGTCTGTGGGTTGTCTAACCACAGCTGTTTCAGTGTGGAAGTTTGGTGCTGTGTATTGACGATAAGTCATTGCTGAGTGAAGTTTTAATTTGGAGAATTTGAATGTTTCTCAAAGGCAGCTGTATTTTATATAACTATTTTTAACTATAAAGTAGTAAACTAGACTTTGAAGTTCTTGCTCTTGAGACCAATAGAAATTAATGGTGTATCTTTTGTTGATTCACTATTTTTTTTCCTGTTTGTTAATGCATTTTATTAGACTACACTTTAAGGAGCAACCTTATTCCACCTCTCTGAAAAGTATTCAGGAAAGTCTTTGTCTTTGCAGATAAAACAGACTTGAGTCTTAAACACTGAAGCTGTTGTCCCATCCTGGTGAACCCCGTGGATTTTTAACTGTTTTTCTTTTCCCCTAAGCGGACGCTGGTAGAGAAGCAGAAGCTGCTGACCCAGCAACATGAAGATGCAAAAGAACTGAAGGAAAACCTGGATCGTCGAGAGCGCATTGTCTTTGACATTTTGGCGAACTACTTGAGTGAGGAGAACTTAGCAGACTATGAGCACTTTGTAAAAATGAAGTCGGCCCTCATCATTGAGCAGAGGGAGCTTGAGGACAAGATCAAGCTGGGGGAAGAGCAACTGAAGTGTCTGACCGATAGCCTCCAGCCTGAACGGCTCAAATAAGAGGACTGGGTTTGACCAAGGATGTGAAAAATGGGAAAGAAGGAAGGGATGGGGGAGTTTCCAAGTATACAAATGAGTATCTTGGCTTGTCTGAGTGTCCAATAGAGAAACAAGTGCACAGGAGAAAAATAGCTCTCACAACAGCAATAATGCTCTCTTCATTTTTTTGGGATGACGTATTTAATTTTTTAGAACACATTTTCATTGCTGGACTCTACAGCTTTTTCTCATTGCTTGACTTGGAGACAGCTCCACAGAGAAGGATAGACTCTTGACCTTTCTGCTCACTGAGTTGAAAGTCTGTGGCAGTTGTGCATGCAAACAGCAATGTGTTTTAGAATAGGTTGTATACTTCCTTTATGTTCAGATGCTGTACAGACTGCTGGGAAACCCAACAGCAATTTATGAATGCACACAAATTTAGAAGCTCTAAATTTAGTGGCTTTTTATTTTTTTTAAAGACACATTAAATAGGGGAAGCATGCGTCTTACAGCTCATATATTCAGATTGCTGAAATATAGTGTCACTCTGATCCTGTGGCATCAGACACTTTTTTATATTGTATATAGGATGGCACTTTCCCCTTGCAGAAAATACCTTTACAATCAGTCTCAGTTAAACACTTCTTAAACCAGCTTGCAAATCAGCTCATGGCTATCTTGCTGAAGATTTTTTTAAAAATTATTTTGCAAGACATAGTTGTATGCCTTCTTACTGCAATGCAAGCAGTTTTCTTTACCAAGTTGTACTTGATTTAAGAAACAGGCTGGAAGTATTGTGCTGATTTTGTTCAAAACATTTCTTGTCTAAATTATTTAGAAAGCTCATTTGCTTTCTTGTGCTTTTTATGCATGTTTTTATTTTTCCTCCCCCAAAACTGCTACACTTTATGAAAATAAATGTAGGCTATGGACACTGCTTCTATGTTTCTTCTGATTGTTCAACATTGTGATGTTTTTATATAGACAGTTAAGTTATACTGCAGTTAACCTACATAATGCTGTTTGTTCTTTCCTCTTTCTCAGACTATGAAATGCAATATAAACAAATTCTGCCATATAAATAGTGTGGATTACTCAGAGCAACTCTGCTTTGTAACTGTGAACATAAGTGGGTTTTGTTTGTTTGTTTTTTCCATTGCACAATGATAAATGAGAGGATGCTAGTTCACAGTATCCCATTGCTGGTTGTGTTCTAGTAATACTGCCATTGACTTATAACACAAGATTTCCAGTAGCTCTAAAAAGAGGTGCTAACTCATGTAAAAGGTTATGCTGACTTGCTCAGATACCTACAGAGAAATTCTGTAGTGTCTAAATGTCAGGTTCTATGTTAAGATAAAGTTTTGCAGGCAAAGGCAAGTCTTGGATGACTTTGTGTATATGCCATTTACTTTGTACTACGGAAAACATTTATCTCTCCGTAGACAAACAGGTTGCCCAACAAGAAGCCATTTTTGAGGTGGATGTGAATGCCAATCTGTAGCTAAGCAGGGTGAAAATACAAGTAGTGAGGTGTTGAAAGGAGAGAGAAAATGATTCTTCCCACAATTCCTGCAGTGGCAGCGTTCACAAAAGGATTTCTGTCCTTACCTGAATCCTCTCTTTTGCGGTCAGAGAACTGGAGAGATGCTGATTGGCAAATTCCTTGCGAGCTGGGCAGCAAAAGTCTTCTGGAACCAGTTCCTTTCCAGACAGGTGCAAAGGTTAAAAGGACTGTTTCCCCCCCCCCTTATAGTGCACTACTTTGTATACCTGGACCAAATCTTTACTGAAATCATGTTGATGTGTATCAGCTGAGGTCGAATGGAGCTACCATTTCACAAGACCTACAGCTGACCTTAGTTTCTTCCTCCTAGTTCAGAAATGTAATCTCTGGCATCTCACAGGTGTTTGCTGCTATGTTCCCAGGACAAGTGATCCCTTTGTCCTTAAACTTATCCCTTAACCGTAACAAACCCAAAACTAAACAATTCCCAAATAAATTATGCTTGTCTTTTAGCTTGGAGAAAAGTGTGCATTGTTTTATCTGTGGCATTTTAAAAATTTTACATATTGTGGTTACTCTGAAATGTGTATGTGAAATGTGAATAATAATATAATTACAATGTGTTTGTATACAGTACTTTGATTTAGATCTTTCTGATAAAAGTTAGCAATATTGTGAATGCTATGTATATTATCCTTTCACAGAACAGTTGCATAGACACCATTCTCTCCTTTCCTTTTTTAAAACCGTGTTGAAAATCTCTCACCCTGGGAGCCTGAAGGTGGTTGCCTCCCAATGTTATATGTAAATCTGTAAATAGCTCTACTGTTGCTTTTTGAAAAAATCTGGTGCTAATGTTTTGCCTCTGGCATCCTGGGGCTGGCTGTTTCTTCACCTTATGCTGTTCTCATTCCAGATCTCTTTGTAGAGTGAAAGATTTCCACTATATTTCTCCAGCTGTTTGGATCCTGCAGCCCAGAGTGAAAATGTACAGTTTTCCTGCCTGACACTTACCACTTACCTACTGACAAATGGTATTGCTTGACTTTGAGAAAATAAACTGTATATTTCAATGTAGAGTTAGTTTCTGTGTGCAGTTCTAACTGTCAAAACCTGCTGTTTGGCTGTGCAGTGTTAGCCATCTCATGGTGCCCATCAACGGTGCCTGTAGCTTTTAAAGGCCAGCCCAGTTATCTGATCTGAAGTAGTTTGCTGTCTTTTCACAGATTATTTACCATGTTGACTTGACTGATCATTCTCAAGTTCCCAGTGCTAAGTACCAGAAATGTGTTCGCCTGTATTCAGTATTTTAAGTGTATGAGAGGGCAGAAAGGAAGATGTGTGACAAGGTGGGTAAAATAAATCAGCCTCTCACGACTTCTGGAGTGTATGCCAGGGGAGGAGTCAAGATTTTTCTACTCGGGCAATTAGACTGTTTTGGCTTCATCCCATGTTTAGAATGATACTTCATATGGAAATATCTAAAGTTAGTGGTTCTCAAGATTTTTTTCAAGAACAGATCACTGTGAACTCTCCATCTTTAACAGACTTCCACAGAAACTGGTTAATTTCAATTTAATGAGGCTTTTCAGATAAATTGCAGAATCTTCTGCCTTATTGGGAAACACTGTCATATGTGCACAAATTTGTTGTAGAGGTGACCACAGATAATGTTTTATGGCTTCATAAATCATCCTAGAAATTAATTGTCTGCAAAGGTCTTTATTTTAGAAACTATCTGGGAAAAGGAAGATAGGGAAGGAAAAATACTTGAGTATTTGTAGGATTTTTCTAAACTTTTAACAATGCTTTTCACCCCCTTCTTCTCTCCCTCTGCGTGTACATGGACCCACCTCTGTGCCTGCTTTCCTGGGCACTTGGTATAATCCAGGGTAGCAGCTGTTGGGGAATAGCAGTCTAGGTTTTGTGTAGTGTTTGAATTGGAAAAAAACGGCTTTTCTTTAAACTTAAATTAGGCTCTTTATTTTCTTTTTTGGGGTATTTGAAACACTCAGATTTCCAAGGATTCACTGTTTCACAAAGTTCTTTGCTAATCAAGCTCTATTGATTAATTCTGGTGTTCTTGTCTCAGTTTTTACCGCTGAAGTAATCTATTGGCAATCCAGTAGCTAGCAAGGTGTCATGATGGGTGCACAGCAGAATGGTAACTCCTACGTTAATGATGTCCAGTCATTTATTGCCGAAGTTCATAGGTTTGTCCTAATTAAGGGCTTATTGGTTGTGTTGTTTTGGGGGGTTTTTTTTGGTTTTTTTAAGAGTATGAACTGTTTTTTCTGCCTACTTGGGCAGAACCTGACCACAGAGTAGATGTTACAAAAGCTAATAATTGCATCTTAAAAAAGTGCTGGCCTATATATTGTCAGCTGTCAGCAGTGGTAAATTGGACATCACATTCACTTACCGCAGTTCCAGTCTGTAACTTCACCAATTATCATCATCCACAAATTGTACAATGGGTTACCCATGTGGTTTAGCAGTTCGCCTCTGAAATCTTGGGTTTCATTCTCCCTACGTGCTGTTTCGATAATGCTTGTATGAATTAAGTTGTTCCATTTGAAGTAGGCTAGCTTAATTGTAATTTAATACACCTTGGGAGAAAATCTGAAATGAAGTAAATTCAGTGTAGTTCAAATAGCAGAAGGTAATTTCCCTCCCAGACTGCAAGAGCACACCTACAAGCAGAACAGGTAGACTCTTGAAGACAAGCCCTGCTTAGGACCTTTTTCTCGGTTGTAGCCATGTGGGCAGATACTTCATACAGCTGTTTATCTTAGGCTAAGAGTTTTATTACAGTCCAAGCAGTTGAGCCTTTACAGAGGCTAGTAAAATGCCTTTTTGTTTTGTTTTGTTACAAGTTCTTACAATGGCTTCATTTTTGGGTGCTTTGATATCTCTGTCTTAGGGGCAGTCTCCTGAATTTTGCAGGAGGAGATGGCCTTGTGACTAGGCTGTGCCTTGTGCTACTGCCAAACATGTCAGCATTAGTGGAGTCTGTTGCTACACAATCTAATTCTCACTTCCTTTAATTCTTCTGGATGCAACAAACTGGTAAGGTTAACGAGAAACTTACCCACTAGCTGTCATTAGCTGTGGCCTGCTGCTTCTTTCAGACACCTTGCCTGGTGCTGGCTGCTGCTGGGGCTGAGATACTGAGAATATCTGGGCTACTAATGTGGTTTCTGGCATCTCTTCTGGGATGAAGCAGGGTGAGGAATTCTCTGCATCTCCTGCTTGCTCGGTGTGAGTTGTTAACCTAAAATACAGTGGTATCACTAGAGAAGAACCAGATTCCCACCACATAACCGCTTTTATTGAAATATTTTTATCTGCTCTTTGTGTTGACATGGGAGAAAACTTAAATAAAGCAAATAGATTTGTGACAGAGGAGCTGAAGATTTACAAGGTCTCTGAAAGATACAGAAGAATAATCATACTTATTTTCAATAACATAAATCTCTGGCACAATGGAAGCCTGCATGGCACAACTTACAGGTGAGAATGCTCGAGCATTCTAGATCCGTGTTCATGGAGGTAGAACAAAAGGCTTTTCTTAAGCATATACTGAGTTTAAATTATGTTAACTAGATGTTATGCATTTCAAGCAACTTTTGTAAGAGGAGCCAATATGAACGCTGAAAAAGCTGTGGTCTGACATGCATCACTGAGAGCTGTTAGTTTGCTGCCGTTCCTTGTGCTGGCATCGTTTGCCCGCCTCCTGATGGAGAGCATGTTCTGCAAACTGGGTAATGGATGTATAGGTACCAGTTTTACCAAAACGTTACAGTAAACGGTCCAGAAGCCTGAAAAGAATTAACAAAATCCTTCTGATGAAGATTGTTTCAAGCATTTAGTTTCAACATCTGTTTCATTCCCCAGCTGTCTTCTCCTCAAACAGTATTTCTTACTAATAAATTAGACTTGTGTCTCTTCTAACAGCCTCAGAGAAATATAAATACAGTGAGCAACTGCGGACTAAATAATAAGCAGTGGAAGGAAGATAAGGTTCTTTATCTCGGTATCTAAATAGAAAAGCATGAGTCTTGGAAGTACCATTCATAGCCA